CAACAGGCCCTGGTAGAATTGGGCATTAAAACAGTTCTAAGAAAACAGAAAACTTGGGTATGAAAATGGAGCTAATGAAGCAACGGAGTCAGCATATAAAATGTGGCTCCTTCCCTTTTCTCCCCACATCCTACCCTTTAACAGCTCTGGCTTACAGAGCGAACATAGGGCAGGACTGGCAATTCCCCAATGTGCTTTAAGCTGACTTGAAACTCTGTACTAGTAATCTGGGCCATCTATCTTTTGAAAACTTATGGGGTTATACAAATCACCTTAGTCCTTTCCAGCACTAATATTCTAAGAATTACAGGAGTCTCCTGTTTCTTGTGGTAACCATCAGTATGGGAAGAAAAACTTTATGGAACTATTCTGATGTTTCTCACTTAAAATTATGATTTTTTTCTTTTATATAAACCGTAAATGATTCCTATCCCATCAGCTAAGTTCCATGCCCACCCCACTCTTCTTCAAAACCAACATCTACCTATACAAATTTATTTTTAACATCATGTGTTCTGCATAATCTAAAGTGTACACTGAATCTTTAAAGAAACGAAGTCCCTTCTTCTTTCCTACTTCCTTATGTCTTCATTTAAAAGGCCCAAATCAGGGTACATACGCTCCTCATAAAAACATTTAAGAATTTAAACCAAACCCAAAGTCAAACAGGTGACAACAAAGCTTAGGGAGATTATCAGTAACCAAAGTGGTTAATATAGCAGTAGTTAAAACTGTTTATATACATATTAAATGATACAACCATCCCTCTAACTACAACCAGTAATAAAGGCAAACTTCCCATAAATGGGTTTCCGAAAAATAAATACCTGCTAAAGTAATTCAACAGTGAATTTCTGGTAAGCATCGCTTACTTTTTTAAAAAAACAAAAACACATTAGGAATCTGTGACACTGGACATATTTCAAAGTAATAAACACATATGGATTTCTGTAACTATTCAGGTCACATGGTTTATGGAAGTAAGAGGAGAAATGATTTCCAATACTATTTTATTTTCCTCTCACTGGGAACTAAAAAAAGCTACCAGGTTCAAGTGGAAACTGGAAGAGAGGTCGACTTCAAAAGTCATGCAATCAAAGACAGAGGCTTCCCTGGTGGCGCAGTGGTTAAGAATCTGCCTGCCAATGCAGGGGACAGGGGTTCGAGCCCTGGTCCAGGAAGATCCCACATGTCGCGGAGCAACTAAGCCCATGAGCCACAACTACTGAGCCTGCGCTCTACAGCCCGCGAGCCACAACTGCTGAATCCCGCGCGCCGGAACTACTGAAGCCCGCGTGCATAGAGCCCGTGCTCCGCAACAAGAGAAGCCACCGCAATGAGAAGTCCGCGCGCCGCAACTAGAGAAAGCCCGCCCGCAGCAAGAAAGACCCAACGCAGCCAAAAATAAATTTAAAAAAAAAGGAAAACAGCTTTGATTCTAAGCCAATACATAAGCATAATCATAAGCAAAACTGGTTAAGGGCTGTAGGCCACCTTTAATCAACTTCTCACTCAACTCACTCAGGCCATTATGAAAGACTGCTTCATGAAAGCATGAGCAAAGCCGTCTAATTTCAGCATCATCCTGAGTTAGATACATACCTACTAAAAAGAATGAAAATAAAAGTTTTATCTCACACATGCCACCATTTCTTCTTTAATTCAGTCTAGCAAGAGTTCACAAGCCTATCTATGGTCCCCAGAACCTCGATATTAAAGTAAACACAAATTCTAAAAGGTATTACTACCTTAAAACCATAAATCCTTGTTTAATTATCTAGTACAATATGGCCATTACTTGATGAGCAACTTTAACCTACAACCCCATCCCACATAAGACATTGCTAAGTTGCTAACACACTCTTTAAGGTTTCTAAAACATTTGCGAAAGTACCTCTAACTGTCCACTGCCCATCTGTGGTATATCAGGCAGTTAGCTAGAACCCCAATTTCAAATAAATGCTGAACTTGCTTCTTTTACAAGGTTCAAAATTGCTAAACTGAAAGTTCAACAATTATCTAATTTGTATGCAGTTCCTGCAGAGATTCTTTCAAGTAGCACAAAAATAAAACTTTAATATAAAAGATATTTTTAGATCAGTAGATTTGACAAATGCAATCGTTTACTTAAAATAAGCCACAACATGAACAATGGTCTACAAATTTAAACCTCATAGAAAGAAATTTTCATATGGATTCGAACAAGTTGTTTTCTATAAAGTGCCACGTTTTCCACTAAATCATTCAACTCTACAAAGGTTTTCAAATATAAAAGGGATGAAGAAAAGCATCAGAGGATGGCAGTTATAAGCAAAACACAACTGTTATAAACTCATCTGTATGATGCTGATAAAAATATTACTTCCATATCTAGATTAAATTGTATCAAATGTATTATCAAACCAGATGAGAAAATAATCTTGTAACTCAATATTACTGTTACCATACAGTCTGAAAAGCCCTACAAAATCAATGTTTATGCATCTACTTTACCCTAAAGGAAATGGAGAACAGTAATGCTAACCTTGATCCGAATGTTTGCAGACTCAAGTCTCTATACTGTAGTTATTTCATGCCCTATGCCCCTAATGTCATTCAAATATAAATAGGTAGGCATTATGGTTCTAGAGAAAAAGCAAGAGTTTTGGAAGCCAATCTGCTCCTAAGCTACATGGATGACTTTGAGGCCTCTGATGTCATTTCTTCATCTATTACTTTGGGAGAAATCGCACCTAACCCACAGGGTTATAGTTGTGAAAATTTAGTTGTCTAACCTAAAACTAAAGTGCAATTCAACTAACACTGTGGTAGTAACCTACTCATCCAAAGCCAAATAATTATTTTTGCATTACCCATTTCACTGCCCCACAGCAACAGCTCAAAAAGTTGAGAACACAGGAGACACAAGTAAAGCCCAACCTCAGCATAAAAGCAAACAAAATTATTTTTGTACAACCAAGATCTATTTATTTTCAACAGATCTTAAAAGAGACCCACTGAACCAAACTAGTCTTACATAGCTAAAATATTCATGGGTGAAGGGTTTTAAACTCAGAAAAGAACTGCATGTTGGGCCATTCCTACAGATGAAAAATTATGTTGAATGTGATGAGTTGATGCTGTCTACAGAAAATCTTGCCCTAATCTATTTTATTTTCACTTTCTAACTGTGAAATATGTGAATATATGTGTATCTTAGGGTGACATGTTTATTCCATCAGCAATAATGTAATCGATGATAGCTGGATACTTAATAGTGTTAACCATGACGCTAAACCCTATTTATAAAGTCCAATGCTAATCAAAACACCATAATATCCCAATTATGATAACTTGAAATTATTGAAGCAACCTTTTCTTTTCTGAAATTATGCAGCAATCCCCTGCAATAAATTACAAGCAGCATCTAGTACATTGCTACTACCTCTCCAAATTAAAAAACACACACACAACTGGTACAGATAAAGGAAAGCTGAGATTATTACTTACAGTAGTTGTTACTATAATTCCTGAGAGAGATTTACTTGCTAATTTGTTTATTTTTCTGAGGCTCTATTTCAGAGGAAGGACAACTTTCACTGCAGTTGCCCTAGTCCACCATTCCACCCACCATGAATTATAGGAGTTGGGACTACCTGTGTTCTCAATGGGGTTGCTTCATTTTCAAAGGGCACTTGGCACCACTGGCCCCCAGCCAGCAAACCCTAGATGCAGGGTATGCATCTCCCTCTACCCCCAACCCACCAAAAATCCCACACATTTCTGCATGTCCTCTAGGATATAGTAACAGCCCCAAGTTGAGAAACACTGCACCTAGTTAGTGCCCTTAAAGCTCTGTTCTAAGGAGGAAGAACTTTTTGAAATGTACGGTTTAGTATTCACTTATGAAAAATGGTTTCTAGGTTATCTATAATTTATCACCAAACACTTACTGCAACTTAATTTTTTTCTCAAAAATAACTCAGGCTAAATTTTCTTCTTTCTACCACAAGCTTAATATAAGCTACGAAAGTACAAGCTGAATTTCTTCCAATTATCACTGGCCTGGGCCAAATGAAGTGGTTACCAATTAGTTATTTAAACTGACCCAAAACACAGCCATGTGACTCAGTTATAAAAGTTTCTTCATGTGAAAGAAATGTTGCCAATTTTCAAATATTTGAGGTACTGAGGGTCAACTGATAACATCAAACTTCATTTTAGATTAAGGCTACACCCTTCAGCAAACCTAGAGTTTCCCAGTAACAGCAAAACAAACATTCCTATTCCTACTAATATTCTATCCTCAAACAATAGTCCTAAAGATGAATACTGTTAAGAAAACAAATAAGTTAAACTTGACAAGCTCATTGCCCTTCGATTAATGACAAGTTATCATGCAAAGGCTTGCTTCACAAATGTGTAAACAAAACCTTCACCCATCTCCCTAAGAGCACTCAACAGTAATATACTATGCAAAACGAGTATTAGTCTATATTGCCAGATTAAATTTTCTTCCAGAAACATTTTAATAAAAATTGGCCATTTCTGGGCTTCCCTGGTGGCACAGTGGTTGAGAGTCCGCCTGCCGATGCAGGGGACGCGGG